TTGGGCCATTCATTCAGGATATTTAGTTGCTGTGTGCAAACTTTTAGTTGCAGCATGCGGGGTCTAGTTCCCTGACCAGAGATCTAACTCAGGCCCCCTGCATTGGGAGCACAGAATCTTAGCCACTAGATCACCAGGGAAGTCCCGTCACTTAACTTTTCTAGGCTTTAATTTTCTGCAAGGGAATTCCCTGGCAGATCAGTGGTTAGAACTTGGTGCTTTCACTGCCAGGACATGGGTTAGATCCCTGGTTGGGGAACTAAGGTCCCACAAGCCAAAAGGCACGGCCAAAAATAAATAAAATACAAATAAAAAAGGATTAAGAAATTAAATGGAAAGATAATCTTGAAGGTGACATATTAATAAAGACTCACTGTTACAAGTGAAAAAAAAATTAGTTCATACTCACTAAAGCAAATCTGGGAGTTTTTAGAGTTGTGTAACTGAATGGTCCGGGGGTAGGGGGTGGAGTTATTGCTTCAGGTAGAGCTTGATCCAGATATTTAAATGATGGTAGAAATCTCTCTCCGTATTTTGAATTCTTTTTTTTCTGTCTTGGCTTCATGCTCAGGGAAGTTATCTTATATCAACCTGGACTAATGATGTTAGCACATAATGCATCTCAGCCAAAAGTTCTAGCAGAAGGCAAGGTGTGGAGGCTCATAGTTCTGCCCAAGTCACAGGGTCATCTCAAGGAAAAAGGATACTGTGTTCTGATTGGCTAGCCCTGAGTCACATGCCCAATGAGAGGAGAGGGACAGAGGAACTAGGCAGGCAAAAATAGCAGGTGTTGGACACAGGCGCTATAACAGAAAACAAACATATATATGGGCTTGAGTTCAGGCCCTGTCACCAACCAGCTAAGTAATCCTGAGTAAGCCATCTTGGTTTTCTCACCTGAAAAATAGGATGGTGACTTTCCTGGTGGCACAATGGCTAAGAATCTGCCTGCCATTTCAGGGGACATGTGTTCCATCCCTGGTCCAGGAAGATCCCACATGCAGGGCAACTAAGCCCATGTGCCACAACTACTGAGCCTGAACTCTAGGGCCCACAGGTTACAACTACTGAAGCACATGCGCCTAGAATATGTGCTCCCCAACAAGGGAAACCCGAACACCACCACTAGAGAGTAGCCTCCCTCACTGCAACTAGAGGAGGCCTGTAAGCAGCAACGAAGACTCAGTGCAGCCAGAAATTAAATATATATATATATTTATGTATATAGGATGTGTCTCTATTGTGTGGGGTTAAATGAGAGAAGGTATCAAAGGTGCCTCATGTGGAAGGCTCATGACACATGTTCAGCCTAGGATGGTGTGACTTTCGTTAATGATTCTGAACAAATACTGCACTTCAGTGAAGGAGCAGCTCTTTAGAGAATAACTTCCCTTGTGTAATCACCTGCAGAGTGAGGGCTCCTAACCTTCAGCCGAACAAATCCAGATTTTACATATAACAAGGCTTTGACAACTCAGTTATGGATATTTCTGTTTGATTTTCTTGTTAACTCAGGATAAATTTAACTAAAAGCTTCTTTTGGGTTCAACCCTTGGCATTTGAGAATCACTCTAAATTGTCTGAATCCTTTCTCTTGCTCTAAGTCCATTCTACTGAAGACATTTGTTTCGCTTTTTCAGAGTAGAGGATCTAGGGCTTTGTAGATTAAAGAGTTAGTGCCAAGAGATCTTCTCACAGCAAAGCTTCCATGAGCCAGCAGCACATTATAAACCAGGACACCTCTGGAGCCAAGAAAAGTGACTCAAAGTCACCATATTCACAAAAGACTGATCTTATTTACATAGCAGTTTATTAATTTTTGATCAGGATAGTGTTCTGAGACCATAAAATATCAATGATTCCCATCCAGGAAATCCTCTCCCCTGTGCCAAAGGACAAAGAATTTATCTGCCAGTAGCTCAGTGGGCATGGAGTCAATCTTTGTGATCATGTTATCTCCCCTGCCAGGTAAGCATGGAGTCAGTCTTAAGGACCACTTCACTGGGCCATGGTGAGGCCTGTTAGAGCACCGCCATGGCAACCCAACTCATTGTACCAAATTTAGCATCTGCCAACCTCCACCATGGCAACCCAACTCATTTTACCAAATTTAGCATCTGCAAACCTCTGCATTTTTTAGCTTCTCTTTTCTAGGCTTTCAACTGACTATGCCTCTTTGATTCATGTTGTTTATATCTGGTCCACAACATATATAACACCAGTTGATGAGATGTTCACTTACTCAATTATAATCACAGTCCAGTCCCGCCCTCCTAAAGTTTCACTGGGTCACCGTGATGGAAAATTGTGTGTGATCACAAATTCTTCAGGTATCCACTTACATCCTGCTCCTCCCCCCACCCCAAGTAGCTCAATCACTTGCTGTGTTTTAAGAGTTAACCCATAGGAATAGCCATTTTTCACCTCATATTTCCCTCTATGATGGTTTTTCCTCTCTCCATCTTGGGCACCCTTCACAGATACTACCAAGTTTTCCCGAGAGGGGAACTCACTTGAACCGTGAATTCATGACAGCAACTAAAGAAAAGGTGTAGGGATTGGAATGATCCAGTATTGACATCAACACAGTTTGTGAACAGATTCCTCCCATCGTTTGTCACATTTTTCTTTGAAAGCTCAAGGCAATGTTTTTGTTAATCAAGGCATTTGGTTAAAATAACAATTGAGTTTTAAAGATACTACTTTATTAAGTCTTGGGACTTCCCTTGTGGTTCAGTGGTTAAGACTCCACTCTCTCAGTGCAGAGAGCACAGGTTTGATCCCTAGTCAGGGAACTAAGATCCCACATGCCAAATGGCATGACCGAGAAAAAAAAGAAAAAAAAAAGAAGTCTCTGTCTCAATTTCTACACCTTTGCAACTCTGGTTTTAGTCTGACTACATTCAAACCCTCTGCTTTTATTTTCTGCCTGTGCTTACTTCCAACTGTTGCAGTTTCACCTTGTCTCTATTTGTCATTTTCCCCCTTTGTGCCTTGGTTCTAATGACTCTTTGATGGGGATATCTCACAATCCCTCTCTCTCTCTGTCCCCCTCTCTGTTTTTTCCTCTCTCTATCTATACGTTCCCTCTTTTTCCTAGCTTTTTTCTTTGAATGTTTATTTCATCGTTCTGCCCCCACTTCCCCTTTTTTTCTTATTCTCTTCGGTCCCTTTGCTTATTCTTCTGTGTCACTTCACATTTCCTATTCTTACTTCTCTTCATCCTACCAGTCTCTGCCTCGCAGTTCTTGTCTCTGTGTTGTGCACTGTAGCTGTTTGTGCTTTGTCTTTCTGCCGGTCTCCAACTCAACATATTGCATGCTTTTTCTGTCAATGAATCTTTCCATTGACTGCTTCCTCTACCTTCTGTTCTGCTTCTCAGCTTCCCTGACTAATCTTCATCTCTCTCTCTCTTTTTTTTGGTCACATCATGCAGCATTTGGGATCTTTGTTCCCAACCAGGGATCGAACTCATGCCCCCTGCATTGGAAGTGCAGAATCTTAAACCACTGGACCACCAGGGAAGTCCCCCGCTGGTCTCTATTACCACCTCTTTCCTCTCACTCTGCTAATCTGTCAGTCACTACCACCTGTCTCCCCCGGATCTGGTGGTTCCTCCTTGTCACTCACTCACCTTATTTCACCATCTAGACTATCTTCCACCATTGGGGTCCCTTCCCATCAACCGTTATTTCTATTTTGCTTGTTTTCTTTATGACCATTTAACCAATTCTATGATTTTGGTTCTTCTCAGCATCCATAACAGACTTTCTTGAAATTTCTGCCAAGGATTGTGTCTTGTCCTCTCTCTGTCTCTTCTATGCAACAAATCTTTTCCTAGCTGTCCTTCCATCTGCCTATGTCTGTTTCTTTCATTCCCTTTGTCTCTCTCTAGCTTAGCTTTTTGCTTTTATCTTTCTCTTGCTTTTGTCTCCTGTATCTTTTCTGTGGATAATTAAGGGTTATCTATTTCTTTCCCATTGTTTAGTGGAATTGCAACCTTCATCTGCTCATACTTCATACAACCTGGATGTTCTGCCTGCAGAAGGGAGGTGTCTTGTGCAATAGAAAAAAAAAAAAGAAAATAAAGTAAAAGCAGCAGAGGAGAAAGGAGAGCTTGCAAATTAATCCCAGAAGAGAGTCAGATATTCCTTAATGCTTCTGCATCCAAGTGGGAGCCTCACCTCATTTGCTTCTGCCTCTGACCTCATTCTTCCATGAAAGCCTGAGCTTGGGAAGATCCTATACGGGGCACCCAGAATTGGTGGTTGAGTTCCTGCTATGGCTCTAGACTTTAGTACAGTCTGGAGAAGACAGACCTAGACAAGTGCTCATTCCTCTAATGAATCTCAGAATTCCTCTAAGAATCTGCATTTTCTTTGAAAAGGTCCAAAGACACTAAAAAAAGGTAAAAGGAGGATGCTGGACACAGTCAGACTAGGTTGAAATACAAACAGAATAATGTGGTTTTGAGAACCAGAAACATCACCAGTTTCTTGTCTCTTGGCAACTGTTATGTCCATCCCTACTGGTTACACATAGCACCTGTTGTACCCTCCTCCCTCTGCTATAATTTGGTCATGGATGAGGTCTCTCTTCTCTCTGATCTTCACCCCTTCTGACCAGATCTCTTTCTGAGCCTAGAAGGACTTCCACTTTCCTCATCTGTTCCTGTGCTAAAGCAGAGTCTCTGTTCCCGTTGGCAGTTTCATCCAGCTTCATGCCTCCCACTACCCTTTATTGGTAGCACAGACTGTACCTCTGGAATTAATTTGCTGAAAAGGGCAGTTGTCTGATGATGGGATTCAGTGAACAGTAGCCCAGGTTCCCACCCATCCATGAATATTAGCATTTCTCCTCAGATCCTAGGAATGCAGGAGTTAGCTGAGATACTGAAAACCCAGTCCAGGCCTTGTCCCTGGGGGACAGTGCATTGAAGACCAGCGTCTCCTGGTCTTGGTCTTCCCTCCCCCAGGCCTGGCAGAGGAGGAGCCTGAGGCTCAGTCTTTCAGGCTGAGAGTGGAATCATCCCTGATGATGGACTCACCATCACAATCTGTCCTGGTGCCCCTGGTTTCCTTGTTTCCAAGGATGGGTGGGCAGGGCCGAGATCGCAAAACATCACGGACCAAAATGTGGACACCCAAATTGATGCTCATGACACCCACAGTGGCCAGTCCAGTTCCACCAAGGATGACCAGAGCAAGAGGGATCTGGTGGCGTTGCTGGAACAGCCACAGGCTCATCCATCCCAGTGGCACCAGGCGGAAGAGGGCCAGGGTGGCCAGGGTGGCCCAGCTGGTCACACTGAAGGCCAGGGATGGGGCCTGGCGAGAGAGCAGCAGTAGCTGTCGTAGGTGCAGCCAGGTGGAGTTGAGCTCCAGGAGCAGAGACACCACAGAGAAGCCCACGTAGTGGCCGGACAGAACGGCGGTGCTGAGGCAGCTCACTACCTGGGGAGCCGAGGTCAGAGGTCAGAGGTCAGAGGACCTTCCATGACTGACCACCCATGAGATCCCAACATGATCAGGTCCCAACATCCCAGTCCCCGAGAAGGGTTCCCAAGCATTTTGTGGCACTTCCCATACAGCCCCCAACAAAGCCAACCTTAGGTTTACCCTTCTGTTAGGAGCCTGAATAGCCTTGTAACAACCCTTCCATAGAATTGAATTGGAGCAGCTCTGGCCCCAGGCTGTCTGTCCCCTACTATTTGCATTCCTATGCTTTCACACCCCATCCCTACTCCCAGTACTGGGACTCCGCCTTCTTATTAAAGCTCCATAGTCAATGTTTCTGCAATAGACTGGACACCTGTGGGAACCCAGTCTCCTTGGGCAGTGCTGACTCCAGCTGTGGCCAGCAGTAATCCCCTCCCCCCAGTTCAGCCCAAGGTTGGGAGGATCAAGCGCCAGCAGGGGTCAGAAACTCTGGGGGAAGTCACAGGACAGAAAGCTGATGAGAAACTAGGAACCCCCAGGCTGGGCATGCCTCCTTCCCTGTCTCGCCGCTGGCCAAGTCTCACCACCACATGGTGACAAAGAAGTTCCCAGGCCTGGCCCAAGGTCTGGTTCCAGAACAAGTCAATCCCATCTGCCAGGAAATAACCTGTGGGCAAGGAGGGGAGGTTGGCGTTAGGCCTCCCCCAAGCCAGTGTCCAGTCTTGAAAAGAATCTCCACCCGCTCCTTTCTCTGCTCTTTAGTTTCCTCTCAGTAAAGCTGCCAGAAACATTTCACTAAGAAATGGAAGAGGGAAGGAGACCTGGAATGACTTCTGGAAGTTTGTCCCCTGCCCCAAACTGTTAGGGGAAGCACACTGATTGAAATCGCCCACCCTGGCCAGGCACCATAGTAACCATCTGCATGAGTTGTTTTAGGACAGGAGGTCCTGGTAAGGAACAGGGAACTAATAAGCCTCCACCAACCAGAAGAGTTTGGGAAAGGTCAAAAGGAGACACCACCTGTCCAACCACCTCCCAGAATCCTCTCTGGCATCCATCTTAGCCGAACAAGCCATGCACCACCAGGAAGGACTCTGAGTCAGAATGATTGGCTAAGGACAACCTAGAAACTAATCTCATCGCCATAAAACCCATGTGATAAGAGCAGTTCTCCTGGGTTCCCTTAACCTACTGCGCTCCACGCGGGTGCCCTTTCCCAGTAAAATCTCTTGCTTTGTCAACACATGTGTCTCCTCGGACAATTCATTTCCCGAGTGTTAGACAAGAGCCCAGTTTCGGGCCCTGGAAGGGGTCCCCTTTCCTGCAACAAAACTGGTCCAGCTTTCCCTTAAGACTCACCCACAGAGACAGCCACCAGCACCAGAGCCCAGGGAGGGTGGCCATGAATCGGGTCGGCGGACATCTGAGGGTACAGCGACAGCCTGGAGGAGACGGGGGAGCCATGGTCAGCGTCTGTGTAGACACGGATCGACAGCAGCCACTCATCCACAACCCCACCCCAGCCTCAGACTCTTCGAGATCTCGCATGGATTCTAAAGAAGCCCCCGGGTCTTTTAATTCCAGCCAACCCGCCCCCCTCCCTCGCCCTCGCCATGGTGCCTCCGAAACCTCTTAGGTCCCGCACCCGAGCAGCGCCCCGGCCCCCGTAAGCAGGCTGTGCACCAGGGAGACACAAGTGTTCCGCCACTTCCAGCGGTCCTGGGCGGCAGATCCCGGCGTGGGCAGTAGCTGCAGCCCCCAGTGCAGCCCCCGGAAAGCAGCGAAGGAGGCGCCGGTGACGAGGAGCCCAGAGGGCGCCATGGCCTGGCGGGCAGGCTAGGTCCGGATCGGTCCCTGGGGCTCCCGGGCTCTCAGCCCCGACGAATCCAACACCCCGCTGCGGGGACTGCGAGCAGGCTTCTCCGCAAGGCTGGGTGCCTAGATTCCCCCGCCCGCTCCGCCTTCGAAATCGGCTTTAACTTTTCCGGGTCTCTTCCACGCCCCCAACCCTTGGACTGGGCGGTGATTGGAGAAGCGGTGGGGCCACCGCCCCTTGAGGCACAGCCTTCGATCGCGTGTCGCCCTGGAGGCGGATGGAGGGTAGGGGACTTCCCGGGATCAGACCCGTAAACGGAGCTTAGGGAGGCTTTCTGGATGTCGACAGGGGTCTTCCCAAGCTCTCTGGTGTCCCCACGTCCCCACAAATCCGGAAATGGCTTGTTAATCTCACCTGACACTCTCAGAGGCCCAGCCATATGAATCTTCACCTATTTCACCTGCTCTCACCTCTCACCTGCTGGCCCTCCTGCCCGCCCTACCCACTTAGCCCTGAAGTTAGAGGCCAGGGCAAACTCACTCCTACGGGCATAAACCTCGCCATCGCTCTGCCCCGCGCCCCACCCCGGTCTCAGTTGTGGAGCGGAGGGGCACCTCACTTCCTTCCAGCCACCTTGAACACATTTAAGCAACCCCACGTAAACTCCAGGAGTCCTGCCCTTTGACATGGTACCTCTCATAGGGAACACTCCCTTTCTCTAAGAGCGACCCACCAGTCCCTCCCCTAACCTCTCCGGAGGACCCTTACCATCAAGAAGGGAACCATTCAGCCAGCCCCACAGACTTGAAAAGCAGCACCCCCCCCCCACCCCGCCCCACCCCGCCAGGGCTTGGTACCCATTAGGGGAGGAGTATCTCTGCCAATCTGAGGAGGCAAAGAGAGGTCACACAGGGTCACCTCAAGACTGGGGCAGTCAAAGGGAAAAAGCCCCATCTTGCTTTCAGAAGTAGGACTGTCAGGATTATACAGAAGCTTTCAGCTTTGGGGGCAGGGAGCTCTTCCTCTCCTGAAGAGTGACAGGTTTTTCCTGTTTCCCATTTTACTCCATCCACTCTACACCTCTTTAGGTGGCTGCCACCAAGTCAGAGCAATAGCTGTTCCCTATACAAGGAGTGGATTCCAGCTACTCCCAAAGAATAAAATTCATAAAGCAATAGGTGCTCCCACAAATGTTCTCACAACTCCCCTCCTCCACCAAAACCCCATTAAATGAATGGGGCTGGGGGGATCCCTTCATTCTTCCACACCCACCGCTCCAGAAGTTTTAAAAATTACACTGATTCTTTTAAATCTTATTTATTATATGAAAGCCATACATGATTAATGTAGAAAATCTGGCAACTACAGAAAACCAAACAGGAAAATTACAACGACTTTATTCCATCATCCAAAGATAACCACTATTATTAACAATTTGTCTGCAGTCTTTTAACTCTTATAAAGTATACGCCCATATTTAAAAAAGCAAAATTGAGATCACATAATACACACCATTTTATAACCTTTTTAATATTCAGAGAGCATTTTTCTTTCCAGTCAAATGCTCTCCTACATGACTTTTAATGGCTGCGCAGTGTTCCACCATCTGGGTGGATACATAATAATTTACTCAAGCAACCCTCTCTTGCAAATTTTCATTACAGCAGAAAAAGAAATGAATTCCCAACCGGACAGTTGGTTCTCAGTTTTTCCTACTGCATTGCTGGGATGAACATCTTATAACTAATCTTTAATTATATTCTTAGGATACATTCCCAAATGTAGAATTACTAGATCAAAGGCCATGAAACTTTTAGGATGTTTAGCACACATTACCAAACTGACATCAGTAAGACTACCCATTTGTATACCTGTGTGCAATGTATGAGCGTGTTAGTACTCCTTTGTCAATAACTGGGTCTTATTTTTTCTCTTATAGTTTGCTACAGGAAAAATGCTTCCAGCTATAGCAGCCTTTCTTTAATTACTAAAAAAGCACACCTTTTCCCATGGTTTTATCTATCGGGATTTCTTTCATGAATTTTCTGCATATGTCCTTTCACAGCTGGCTCTTGCTCCTCTAGGGTGCTTACAGACAAATTACACGGTGAGGAGGGGTGGAAGCAGGAGGATGAAGCGAAGGACGCTTCAACATGGTCCCACATCTCTGAGGGAGGCAGAAAGACTGGCGAGCAATGGAGAATGAGGTAGACGGCTGGAAGCTTGTCCTCGGTGGAGGGTGGCTGTCCTCCCTCCTCCTGGGGGTGCTCCTGGCCCCTATGGGCCCCCCTCTGCAGGATGTCCAGACAGGGCCCTGTGCCCTCCAGGCCTGGTCCTTCACTGGTCTTCTGTCTGCCTCTGTGTTTCCAGGCTTTTTTTCCTCATTTCTGCTCCATGATGGGTGAGGATGGCAGAGCCATGTACCCAAGGCTGGATGAACACACTGTGGCCCGTGAAGCGAGGAGGGGAAGAAAGGATGGAAGCAATGTCCAGGGACAGAGCAACCTTTGTTGCAGCCTGTGAGTGGACTCAAGTCTACCCACCCTCCTCTATTGCAGTCCACTCACATCCAGCTTAGGCTGCAGAGGGTGGGTTCAATGAGCTACTCTCTCCTAAAACTGTTCCTCAAAAGTGGAGAACAGGACCCAGTTATCTGCAAAACTCCTGCTCCCAAACAGAACAAACAGCTTCCAATAACCCCTGAACTTGATTACCTTCAGGCAGACAGACTGGGCCAAGGCTGAAACACACCAGAACATGAGCCCAAGGGTGAGATTAGATCAGGAGCTGGGGGTGGCCTGATGCCCCTAAAGTGGTCACATCTCATAACCCATCTCTTCTGGTTGCTAGAGAGGAGAATTTCCTGCCTGCACAGGCCTGAGCTGAATCTCACACCCTGTCCTTGAAGAGTAAGTGGGGGAAGTCAGCAGTGGTAGCTGGAAACCCATCAGGGCTGTGGTCCTGCTCTGGGAGGCAGGGGAAGCCTGAGCCACCTTTGCTTGGTGGGAAGTCAATGCCAAGACTGAGTTCCCAGCAGCTCCTGGCATTGGTCTAACCCTAGTTCCTCCCCTCAACCTCCAGCCCCAGCTCCCGGGGTTCTGGTCAGGGGTGGGGGAAGGGCAACAGCTTATGTGAAAAGCTGTTCTGTTCCCACCCACAGCAGAGGACAGCCCAGGCTCTGAGTCCACACAAGTGGGCTTCTGATTCCTTCATGCACACTCAATTGTGTGATTCCCCATTTCACAGGTGGAGAAACCGAGACAGGAGGCCTAAGGGTCCCATGTGGAGGTGAGTAGCCCTGAATTTAGTCTGGGCCAGACTAAGGAAATACAGGGAACAGATAAGAGCAGGGGGATGACTACTCAGATGGGCAACTCAGTATGACCTTTTCCCTGAAGAAACTTACTTTTGAACTTGGAAAGGCCAGTAGGAAGGAAGGAGGATCAGGAAAGGGGATCCTTCCTGCATAAAGGGGAAGGCAGGGTTTTCTTTACTCCACTTCTTCCCACTGTCAAAGACCAACTATACTTGGGTACTCAGAGCCCTCTATTCCTCAATTCAGCCAGGGTCTCTGATCTGAAACTTTCTCTCTTGCTGGGTCAATCTGGGGCAAGGTTCTCCAACTGAATAGGGTTCCCTTCCCCAAAAGGTATCATCACTCTCGCTGTTCAGACCTTCCCAGCCCCAGTTCTGTCACCTTCCAGAGGAGGGGGAAAGCAGCTCCTTCTCCTCTTCTTCCTCTTCCTCCTCCTCCTTGAAGCCAGGGGCAGAGGGCAACAGTTCTTCAACTGGCAGCTTTAGCTGGGTCAGGACATAAAGCTTGCCACTGAAGAACTACTGCGGCTCAGCCAGGTGAGGATGTGGGAGGCACAGGTTCCTAAAAGGGAAAGGAAAGAAAAATGGGAAAGACCTGAGCAAGGCCATGTCACAGGGACAGTGTCCCACTGGCCATCAAAGTCCGGCTCCAGTGGATGTTCAACCTTCTAATGAAGGGCTTCTTGGCTCTGACCTGGGCCTCCAGTGAGGGACAAGAGGCAGCTCTGAACCTACTTCCTTGCCCCTCTTTCCAGAACTGAATGCTGTAGAAACCTAGATGTGCTCTCACCCCATGTTGCCTTGGCTAATCACAGGGTAGCCTCCAGCCTCCTCAGCACTGAGAGGGCAGGATCTGGGAGCCTGGACACTCTCCACCAGTTACCCAGGTATTAGGTGAGAAGGCGTACCTCAGGTCCAGAATTGGGAGGGATCAGCGCAACTGACTCAGTCTCAGGAAATTCAGCAGGAAGAAGAGTTTTGGGGGGGCCTACATCTGGGGAAAAGTAAGGAAGGGAGGAGGTTTAGGGTTTCGAAGAAGGTCAGCAGAGGTTCCTGGGACTGTGAGGAGAGGAAAGGGGACCAGAGGCTGGAGGAAAGGGAGGTAGGGCAGAGTGGTTGGGCAGCTTCCCCAGGACTCTTAAATGCCAGGCATTCCGCTTGCGCATTCCGGGTACATCTGGTATGAATTCCAGGCTGTCTGCCGGCCCCTCCATGTCTGAACTTTGTTCCAAGTTCCAAGCCCCGCCCCCACAGTTCCAACGCATGAATCAGCAGGAAAAGCCGGGCCCTGCAGCATGGCCCAGGGAGGGGGCTGGGGGCGTGGCAGGCTTGAAGGCAGCGAGCTTGGGAGGGTGGGTCTGTGCTGACACTCTGTCGAAGGGCATGGTCCATGCCAGTGTGAAGGGCCAAGGCGGTCTTGCCTTTAGATATCTATGCTCAGAGGGTAAAGGGAGATTAGGGTGGGAGGTTTTCAAATTACAAAACCCTCTTGGGAGGTATGAACTTTGTGGCATCTTCCTTCTCCCAGGTGACCAGTTCAACTCCTCCCCACTCCTATCTGCCTGAGCAGGCTCTGTTCAGCCCATAGGACTCAGCTGCTGCTGAGAGTCTGTGCCAAGCAGGTGCCCTTGGCTGCAGGGAGGGGTGGGCCCAGGGCACTGACCCTCTGACCAGCTGCTCCATCAACCCT